GGGCTTCAACACTCAGAACCGTGTCAAAATCTGCCAGCGTTACAGGAACCACTATCACTTTGTAACCCTGTACCGGACCGAGCTGAGGAACCCGGTCTACTCGGCGTACAGGTATCCCTGCACCATGGGTGTTGAGGCAAAACAGAGACCCAGGCTATGGTTTTATGAGCCACAGGTAAGTGTTAGTGACTAAACCGTTCACTGTGTACCACAAACAGCCCATCACTTAGACACCACAAGCCCCAAATCTGATGAGTATCCAAATCGATGGCGTACTAGACAGTGAAGAAGGTTATCTAAGATTACAAAGGGATCTTGATCAATTGGGTCAAAGGGCTGAAAAATGACAGATGGAGTTCAATCTGGATAATTGGGAGGTATTGCATTTTGGTACAACAATCAAGAGTGGGGCTTATACAATTAATTGTAAGGCCTTGGGTAGTGTTGTAGAACAGAGGGACCGAGGCGTGCAAACACATATTTCTTTGAAGTTTGCATCACATATAGACAGGGTGGTTAAAAAGGCATTTGCCATGCTTGCCTTCATTGCCCAGTCCTTTGAAAGTAGGAGTTGGGAAGTCATGTTGAGGTGGTACAGGATATTAGCAAAGCCTCTTCTGGAATACTGTGTCCAGTTCTGGTGGCCCAGTTACAGGATGGATATTAGTAAGCTGGAGAGGTTTCAGAATAGATTTACCAGGACATTGCCAGTTATTGAACATTTGAGCTATAAAGAAAGGCTGGGACATTTTTCCACTGGAGCGTAAGACGTTGAGAGGCGACTTTATACAAGTTGATAGAATAATGAGGGCTATAAATAGGGTTAGTAGTAGTTGTCTTCTCCCTAGAATGGAGGATTTCAATACTAGGGGGCACATTTTTAGGGTGAAAGGAGAGAGATTTAAAAAAGACATGAGGAAAATTTCTTACACAGAGGGTGGTTTGCGTGCGGAATGAACTTCCTGAGGAAGTGGTGGATATGGGTACAATTATGACATTTGAAAAATATTCGGATAAGTAAATGAATAGGAAATATTTAGAGGGATATAGGCCAGGAGCGGGCAGGTGGGACTAGTTTAGTTTGGGATGATGTTTGGCGTGGACTGGTTGAACCGAAGGGTCTGTTTCTGTGCTGTATGATTCTAATCACGGAGCTCTCTGAGATTTTTCGATGTTGGGAGGCTATATTGGAATTGGGAATTCAAAAATCCAGGCTTGATTTTGCTGACACTGAGTTGCCAAGTCAACTGCATTTTTTTTAGAACAGCCCCAGCTTCGCTGAACTATCTGAAAAATGAAAATCAGGTCCAAATGAAATGTGACTGATGGAAAATAAGCACAATACACTCCTTTTCTCAATATGATGGACTATTTTCATTCACGCATGGGATGTAGGTGTCATGAGCTGGGCTAGAATTTATTCCCCACCCCTAATTGCCCTTGAGAAAGTGGTGGTGAGCTGCCTTCGTAAACCCCCCATAATCCATGTGGTGTAGAGACATCCACAGTGCTATTTCGGAAGGAGTTCCAGTATCGTGACCCAGTGACACTGAAGGAACAGCGATTTATTTCCAAGTCAGGATGGTGTGTGGTTTGGAGGGGAATTTAATGGTGATGGTGTGTTCCTACTTAACATCCCTTATGCTGCTTGATTCAAATGTTCTGACTGTCCTCCTACCCCAGAGCAACTAACTACATTCAAGGCACTATATCAATACAAGTTGTTATCTGTTCTACCTGCAATAAATGAAAGTCCTGCTGCATATTGCCAGCTATTATTGCAGATGTGCTAAAATTGGTTACTCAGTTAAACTCATTATAAGATTTCTTATTAACCAGGGTAAAATAGAAAATTAAAATTAAAATTCACCCCATTCTAACTACAATTCGTTTTGAGGTGATGAGTAATTTCATTCTCACAGTGAGAATATCAATATGATCTGAAAAGGAGGGTTATGTTTGTTGGTGTGAAGGAGATTTTTAACAATCTAGATGAAGGAACTTAGAGAACTGTCGCTAGGTTTGCAGAAGACACAGTGATAGTTGGAGGGACAGGTAGTATTGAGCAAGCAGGAAGGTTACAAAAGGACTTGGACAGGCTACAAGAGTGGCAAATGGAATACAATATCGGAAAGTGTGAGGTTATACACTTTGGTAGGAAGAATACAGAGCATAGCCTATTTTCTCAATGGGTAAAGGCTTCGGAAATCTGAAGCACAAATGGAGTTCTAGTTCAGGATTCTCTTAAGGTTAACATACAGGTTCATTTGGCAGTTCGGAAGGAAAATGCAACGTTAGCATTCATTTTGAGAGGGCTAGAATACAAGAGCAGAGATGTACTGCTGAGGCTGTATACGGCTCTAGTCAGATCACATTTGGAATATTGTGAGCGGTTTTAGGCCCTGTATTTAAGGAAGGATGTACTGGCATTAGACAGGGTCCAGAGGAGGTTTACAAGAATGATCCTGGGGATGAAGGGCTTGTCATATGAGAAGCGGTTGAGGACTCTTGGTCTGTACTCGATGGAGTTTAGAAGGATATGGGGGGATCTCATTGAAACTTACAGAATATTGAGAGGCCTGGATAGAGTGGATGTGGAGAAGGTGTTTCCACTAGTAAGGGAGACTAGGACCTGAGGGCACAGCCTCAGAGTTAGGACCCTGTAGAACTGAGATGAGAGGGAATTTCTTCAGCCAGAGGGTGGTGAATCTGTGGAACGCATTATCGCAGAGGGCTGTGGAGGCCAAATCTTTGAGTGTATTTAAGACAGAGACAGATAGGTTCTTGATTAGTAAGGGGATCACTGGTTATGGGGAGAAGGCAGGATGATAGGGTTGAGAAACATATCAGCCAAGATCGAATGGGAAAGTAGAGGTAATGGGCTGAATGCCTAATTCTGCTCCCGTATCTTGTGGTCTTATGGTTAAATTGAGACAATTGCCTCATGTGTTATTTATTGTTGGTTTTAGATTGATGATCCACATGCCTCAGCCGAAATGAGCAGCAGCAACGATACCTCCAGTGATCATCAGGCAGTGGATGCAGATTACCAGGGTTCGGGGTACGATCGAGGTCATCTCTATCCCTTTTCCTTTAATAGGAATGACAGTGCTACAGCCACCTGCACCCTCACCAATGCAGTCCCACAGAAGCACAAAGCCAATGTGAACTGGGCAAAGGAGGCAGAATCTTTTGTCCTCAAGTTGGCAAAGATATGCCACAAATCCGGCCGCTCGACCTACGCAGTGACGGGCTCAGCCAATTCCACCACCATCAAAATGAAGAACAAGGTGATGGTGCCTGAGGTAGTCTGGACTGCCCTTTGCTGCACCTCCTCACCGAGCCCGAATAATGACCCTTGTCTAAATAACCACGTGTGGTCGGAGGGGCAGGACGTACCGAGATACAATAAAGACTTTTCCGCTGCTTTCAAGAAAAGGATGGAGCCAGAAGAGCCGGCAGTCAGACTGACGGTGAGGGAGCTGCAGAATGAGCTGAAAGTGGGCAAGATCTTTGAGAGTTGTAGAGGAACGAGTGCAGATGATGAGGAGGAGACCTTCAAAGATGTGACATACCTGATTGAAACGGAAATGTCTAACTAGAACAGACTCAGTCAGAAATGGTTGTCAGTCTCTGCAGTAATGTGCTGTCACCGTTCAGTGATAGGGCTGAAGTGAGTCTATTGGTTGAGATTTGCAAATTTGCTACAAATTCTCATCGTCATGAAGTTGTGACATAAGGTGTGTGACTTTTAACATTTTATTTTAGCTTTTGAGTTTTGAACTAGTGGCATGTGGGTTTTGGTCTGTATTTATGAAGGGGCTTAATGAATAACTTGTAAGCATTTCTACGGCCACGACGGGTTATTTTTTACAAAACAATAGGAAGGAGAAATTTCCTGCAGTGTAAGGTTTTGTTTTCATTTAGTGAGTGTTATCAGTGGACAAATTAAACAGTTGTACACTTGGCGTCAGTTAGAAGGGGATTTGGGATTTGGATTTTTTTTGGTTTAGGGACATACTTATAATTTGGAAAGCATTTTTTTCAGTTTGCGCAAGTCTCGGCTGAAGCTTGGTGTTTAGCTCAGTTACTCCTGAAGAAAGGAAATAGATTAGAATTGCTAAGAAATAGGTTCCCTCGGTGTAAAGAATTCTGTTTGAAAGTTCCAGACCAGAAATCTTTAGTTAGAACTCTGAAGAGATTCTCTGGAGCAGAGAAAATGTAATCTCAAGTGTTTGAATAATCATTGGCAAGGCGATCAGATTCTGAAGACTAGGAATTGATGCCATTGTTAAGTTAAATCCTATAGATACGATAGAGAAGGGGATTCTTTCTGGTATGAGTACTGTAAAGGAGTGCAGTTGGGATTAATGAGATTGCACTTCTACTGTGTGTTTTGAAATCTTTAACCTTCTGTTATATGTAAATAGGTTCGTTCTATTTTCATTTCTTTTGCATAATAAACTTTTGCTTTATTGTTAAAAGCAAATCTGTAGCACTGTCTGTTTGACTGTCAGTGAAAGTCCACCTCATTAAAACAAATAAAATGTATGATCTATCAAGCCAGACTTCAGGCTAGAACTGAACTATCCAGTAATAGCATTCGCTGAGACCACAACAATATTTTAGTCTGTTAGTCTCACTATCAATTGTACTTAATAAAGATCATATCATTAGTGTCACATTGTTAAACGCATTAAGTACTCAGAATGTGAACTCAGAGATAGCAAGAACTACAGATGCTGGAGACAGAGATAACACAGTGTGGAGCTGGAGGAACACAGCAGGCCAGGGTCCCGACCCGAAACATCAACTTTCCTGCTCCTCTGATGCTGTCCAGGCTGCTGTGTTCCTTCAGCTCTACACTTTGTTATCTCAGAATGTGAACTGTTATTATTCATGTAAATTCATAATGTGTCACAGTCTGACATTTATAGGGTGCAGGGTAAGAGCCTGTCATGTGATTCAATACATTCATGGCTGATCTGAACATTAACTTTATTTACTGACTTGGTTCCATCACCCAGAATACTCCTACCAATCAAAAAAACTAGCAATCTCAGTTTTCAAATCTGCAACTGGATCTCAGCCTCAACAGCTTTTCGTGGGAGAGAGTTTTAGATTTTCACTCCCCACTATGCGGTGAACTGCTTCCTGACATCACCCATCAACAGCCTGGCTTGAATTTTAAGGTGTTCTCCATGTTCTACAGACCCCCACCCAACATCAGAGGAAACAATTTACCTACATCTACCCTACACTAACAGATCCTAGTTTGCAATGCAGAGTGATACCAACAGTGTGCATTCAATTCCCATTACCATGAAGGACTCTCCTTCTCAATCTCTCACCTCATCTGAGGCATGATGATCCTCAGGTTAAACCACCCCTGTTGTCTCTCTATTGAGAGAGGAGCCCTATGGAGTGGGACTATGACAACCTTAACCTTAACAGATGCTTCAATCATCTTAAACCGCATAAGTACTCCGTTCCTTCATCTTCTCCTGCATATATAAGTCTTTCTTATGTATTTGCCCTTGTAGTATAACTCTTTTTGCCTCTCCTGAACCTATGCTGTGCTGCCTCCAAGGCTAGCATTTCCTTCCTGAGTCTTGGTGCCCAGAATACAATATTCGAAATTTGGCTCTGTGCAGATCTCTGTGCAACCATAACGTGACTTCCACCCCATTACACTGCAGTCCCCTTGAAATAAAGTCAACTCCATTATAGATCTGCAGGAGTCCACACAGTCTATCATTTCTCTGTGAGCCCTCTGAAACCAAAACTCACCCAGTTTCATGCCTCCACCTTTTCCTGGTATCCATGCAAATATTTTGCCTGCAGGTAACGAGTAAATTCCCTTTGGAAAGCCACGATCGAATCTACCTCCAACACAGAGAGGACCAGGTGAGGTAAGAGCCCTGTGACAGGCAGTCAGCATCACTGAGAGGAGTGGGTAAGGTGAGGCAGGGAGCTGGACGTTCAACAGGGGGTTGAAGCTGAGTTGGAATAAGAAGTTAAACTTACACTTATGTGAATCTGAAAGGCAGAGGGAACACACCCGAGATAATAAAGAAGTGTGAGACAACAAGGTGCAGGGCTGGATGAACACAGCAGGCCAAGCAGCATCATAGGAGCAGAGAGGCTGACGTTTCGGGCCTAGACCCTTCATCAGAAAAGGGGGAGGGGAAGGGGGTTCCAAAATAAATAGGGAGAGAGTGGGAGGCGGATAGAAGAGGGATAGAGGAGAGGATAGGTGGAGAGGAAACAAACAGGTCGAAGAGGCGGGGATGGAGCCAGTAAAGGTGAGTGTAGGTAGGGAGTTAGGAAGGGGATAGGTCAGTCCAGGGAGGACGGACAGGTCAAGGGGGCAGAATGAGGTTGGTCGGTAGGAGATGGAGACATCTTCCGACCCCACCACCAAAGACATCTTTCCCTCCCCACCCTTATCTACTTTCCGGAGGGACAACTCTCTCCGTGACTCCCTTGTCCGCTCCACACTCCCCTCCAGCTCCACCACACCCGGCACTTTTCCCTGCAACCGCAGGAAGTGCTACACCTGCCCCCATACC